CTAGGGGTGGTGCGCAATGTTCAAGAACTGCATTTATGACTAGGGGTGGTGCGCAATGTTTTATGTTTTTACGCTACCGTTCAAGAACTGCATTTATGGGTAGAAGAGGTGCGCAACTCTAGTTGAAAGAAATCAGATGGGACTCCCTCTCTCTGCTAATATATAGGTAGGAAACATTTTAACCAGTGTTTCTTCCAGACTTTTTTCTCCGGGGGGGCACTTGAAATTTTCGGGGGGGGGGGGGGGGGGCGGTAGACTTTCTTCGGGGGGGCGGACACTGTTAAAAGTATATATTTTCTATATAAATTATATAAATTTCATTTCGTTCGGGGGGGGGGGGCGGTAAAAATTTTTCGGGGGGGCTAAGCCCCCCCGAGGAGATGCCTGGAAGAAACTCTGATTTTAACATTAAAAAAAAATTAAATATGGCAAGCGACAGAAGCGTAGCCAGGATCGTCTCATAGGGGGGGGGGGGGGGGGTTACTCGGGGACAAACTTTCGATTTGCACCCCCCCCCTCAAACTTTTGATTTACACCCCCCTCATACTTTATATATATACCGAGGAGTCTATGGGGGGGTATGACCCCCCCCCCCCTTACCCCCCTGCCTACGTCACTGGCAAGCGATAAAATGATAGCAACATTTTAAAATTTAAAGCCATTTGGGAACCATAGATTACACTTATTTTCATATTTTTGTATTGACCAAGGTTAGAGAAGCATGGCTGATAACTAACCATCAACCAGTGCCGGCGTCAGGTTATTTAGCGCCCTAGGCAAAACTTATTAAAACGCCCCCTTTCACACAAATTAATTACTAAAACATATTTATAAGAAAACAATTAATTAAAAGTGGCATATTAATTTATTATCAATTGTATACACGTTATAAGTAGACATCAAAATAAAATTTTACTTGCCTCTTCGTCACAAAATTTGTACTAATTCCTTCAATTCCAGTTTGCAAGCGTAATCATATTTTATTGAAATTGTCAGCTAAGCCCACGAATCTACTTTGTACTTAACGACATAGCCCCCCCCCCCCCCCTTTAGAAAATTTGAAGTGCCCCCCCCCCCTCCCGGGAGATAAAAGTCTGGAAAAAAAAACACTGGAAAAAAGTGCTTGTAGTGTTGGGCTCCCAAGGTGAATTCCTAAACAGAACTTACCTGTTTTATGCTTGACTGTCTTTAGTTATAATTGTAAAACGTCTATATTGTGTGATTATGTAACGATTTTTTTTTGTTTTTGAAAAATAAAAGATTATAAATGATATAGATTCGAACCTACAATTGTTATATATGAGTGAATCCTTTAGGAGAGAGTGAAAAATATGATTAGACAATTAATTAGATGTTTAATTCACGACTAAGACTGTATGTCTACTAACATTAGGTAATGCAATCTACAACGGCTACTGATGTATTTGTTTTTCAACTTGATAATGTTAAAAAAAACAACTACCAAAGTATTTTGTTTAGAACTTTTAAGCTCTATATAATTTTTACAATAACTTAAAGTTGTATTTATGTGTAAGCGGTCAACCTAGGGTGCAAGATTTTAAAATGAATATAAAGTCAACGATCGAATTATCTCCCATTTAAAATAATAATAACAAAATTTTATTCAAGGGAAATAACTTTCACAAGAATAGCTAAATGAAACACGTGTAACTAAGACATGTTGGAAAAACACAATAAAACGCTCTAAATTTCATCACGTAATAATTATAACAAATCTTTTATGTTATCTTTGTACATTTATGAAAAATATATATTTTACCTATTGGATACTTAACTGTAGGTTTTGTTTGAAAGCCTAAAAATGATAGCTTTATTATAGCATACTTCAATTCAATTTTGATGACATTCATTGCTTTTCATTATACATGCAGCTTTAACCGTGTAACACAGGGGTCGGCAACCTTTTGAAGCGGAAGAGCCAAAAGTTACAATTTTCAAAATTTCCCTGGTTTTAAAGAGCCACTAACATTTTTTTTATTTCAAATATCTTATTTTTTTATTAAGATTATTAGTATTTTTCAAGGAGCTGGAGAGCCGTATCTTGATATCAAAAGAGCCGCATGCGGCTCGCGAGCCGCAGGTTGCCGACCCCTGGTGTAACATTATGGACCCCATATATTAAGGGACGTCTTTCAGAATATCAAACTCGGGCAACGGGTTTAGACTTGTTAGACTTAGTGATTAAATATACAAAAAAAAAATAATTTGAAAAAAAAAGTCTAATAATGGTAGCTTAATTATAGCATACTTGAATTCAATTTTGATGACATTCATTCAATGTTATTCATACCATCAAGTAAACTATATAAAATTTTGGATCCCATAAATTAAGGGACATCTTTAAGAATATCAAACACGGTTAACTGCTTTAGACATTGCTAGTATTGGTGATTAAATGAAAAAAAAATTAATTTGAAAAAAAAAAAAACAAAGCTACGGTTAATTATAAATTCTATCCTAGTTAATATTATATATTAATACTATAAGAGTGGTAATACAGATCCCCAAAAAACTTAAAATTTTTCAACTAGAGAACGCCTACCTTTCTTTGTAGTGTGTTCCGTACTGAATTGAAATCATCTAACTTACGATAAACTCGACAACTCGATATACTCTACTACATTCACAACACATATCAAACTTCGATACCTAAACATATTTAGACTCGATGCTCCAGAACTACGACACCAACCCGATTAACTTCATCAAGCTCTACAAACGAACTCCAAATCAACAACGATTTCATTGGACCTACTACCTACACTTTAACAGTCAATATAATTCGATACCTTAATACCACAAGACTCGATACTCCCGAGGTCCAGAACTACGATACTTTATCACTTGCTTTCTCATTTCTCTATTACCAATCAGATTCCACTACAAAACAGCCGAATAAAAATAATGACACTTTAACACGTCGATACTTTATACCTACGAAACCATATCAGCAACAGCCTTCCGCCGTTACTCCGGAATCTAAACGATCCATCAAAACTTACCAACAAGTACAATACTTTGAACACCCCATCATTACAAAACTCTAAACACCAGGACAGATTTCTAATTCAAAGTCAGAGAAAACGAGACTAACAAGCCCTATTAAAATTAGATAACCGTTTGAAATGTTCGAAATTTGAATTACGAACTTATTTAATCGTTTTCTACATCATTATATGACACCACATTAAAAAGGCAAAGTGACTCGTAAAAAGCGCCCCGACCTTTCCAAATTAGTGAGGTGGAGTTGCATATTCACCATCGCGAATAAATGTAGGCCTATATAGACCTAATTTTGGGGTGGGAGTGCAAAACTGATAGTTCGTCCTGTGTGCAGAGATAAATCGCTACTCTTTTATAAAAGTTTTTAATTATTAGGTACTTTTTGATAATAGCGATTAAACCTTTTTGCGCCCCCTTAGGGATGGCGCCCTAGGCGACCGCCTAGTTTGCCTGATAGGTAGCGCCGGCCCTATCATCAACTACAAATACAGCAAACTATAATCACTGCCTGTTTCTTGGTAATGTGTTGTTATTGGACGTGCAAGTTTATGAACATTTTGTAATTGTTTAAGACTGTTGCTGATTAGATGCATTCCAGATATTTGATGAAAAGATGTTTTCTATAAGGATAGGCAGTTATAGCAAATGAGGTTAGGGGAAATGTTGAGCTAACTTAGCGCCCCGGGCTATCCCGTGAGCTGGCGCCCGACAGGTTGCAATTTAGCGCCCCTGGCTATCCCGGCAGCGCTATGACGCATACATTCGTTTTAAAAAGTGTGATGGCATATGGATAAGATGTAGTTTTATAGTCGTTCACTAAACTGAATCAGGCGCGTCTAACCGCGCCCCGGCAGGGTACGATTTGCCCCGGATTGTCCAGAGACTGTTTTTTAACACGCTAGTTTTAATAAAAATCAATTAAACATTTTAAAAATACAATTACGAAAGGGAAATAACTAGGTGGTAACGACCAGTCTTGTGCAATGGTGATTGCTAAAACTGTTTCTACATTTTCTAGCATATACTGACGCTAACAATGGGCAAGTATTTCTCATTAAAAGCTACAAATCTTTTTTAAAACAAATATTTTTTGTCGTGTGGACTGAATAAAGAACAGGGGGGGGGGATATAAAGAATTTAGTATGATACACACAGTCAAATCGATCAATAGCAAGATCGTTTTTTTTTAGTTTCAATGACTTGGTTCAACGTTCACATAGCATACTGAATGAAATGAATGACAGGAGTGTTTCTACCTTTTTACGTCAGTACAGAAAGTTAGATATAGTTTCAGTGATCAACTTAGAATACATGGCATACTGCATGAATTATAGTAGAGAAAGTTAGATATAATTTCAGTGAATAACTTAGATTACAGTTTAGTAAGTTAGATATAGGTTCAGAGGCGTTGCGACCCTTCCCGGCGCCCGGGGACAAACTCTCGATTTGCACCCCCCCCCTCAAACTTTCGATTTGCACCCCCACCCCCTCGAAATTTTGATTTGCACCCCCCCCCCTCAAACTTTCAATTTGTTTTTCCAACCCTAAGGTTGGCGCCCGGGGACATGTGTCCCCCCCGCCCTCGTCCCCCCTCGCTACGCCTCTGTATAGGTTCAGTGAATAACTTAGATTACATTGCATACTGAAATAATTACATTGCAGTGAGTTAGATAGAGATCGCTACAAGCACACCCTAAAATGAACCAAAATTAGTTTTTAGCCAGTATCCATGGAAACCTCTTTGCTTCCTGTGGAGCATAGGGCCTCAAACATAACCCTCCATTTTGTCCGGTCCCCGGCTGTTAAATTTGCGATCATCCTTTTATAATAACAAGCTTTCAATTTAAAAAAATCAATAAGATAATATAAAACAAACGTGTGTTTTTAGGCACAATAGTACAAGTGTTGATCGTTAAAAACGCGTTAAAATGTTATGATTATTTAATTTTAACAACACAAAAAAAGCAATAACACAATAAAAGTATTAAAAATTGTTTTAATCTCAAATGAAATCTTCCAAGACCTTTGCAATTTTTTGACTTTATTTCATTCGTCTTAGAGCTTCAGTCTCTCTTTTACCAAGTTTTCTTTTAAATTGTTTTAAATTATGAAACTGCCAGCACTACACTGTAGTAGGTTTTGGTTTATTAAAAAGATAAAAAAATCCCATGAAGATTTTCTTCAACTGGTACATTTAGGGCGGCGTCAATTTAAAAAGTAGCTTTGAGTAGAACCAATAGCGAAACAAATAAAAGAGACACGACTGAATAATGGGTACCGACGGCTCCGTTTTCGGCTTTTGGTGGGTACTCAGCGTCTGAAATTATACGAGAACAGAATCTGGATTATAAAGGTTACAATTATCTTTGAACATATAAGACTGTATAGGATAAATTAATATTTAAACTATTTCTGAAAATACAAATCTGTGGATACTCAGCGTAGAGGCGTAGCGGGGGGGGGGGGGGGGGGTTACATATGTCCTCGGGCGCCGACACTTGGGGGCGCCAAAATGGGTTGTAAAAAATAATTAAAACTCATTTTATCTGCAGTTTTGCATTATAAATATAAAAAAATATAGGAGGGGGGGGGGGCGCAAAATTGAAAGTTTGTCCCCGGGCGCCGGTAAGGGTCGCTACGCCTCTGACTCAGCGTCTAAAATATACGAGAACAGAATCTGGATTATAAAGGGGGTTACAATTATCTTTGAACAACATACAAGACTGTATATGATGAATTAAGATTTAAACTATTTCTGAAAATACAAATCTGTGAATTTAATCGCTATTTATTGAATATTGGATAAAAGATGTATTCGGGATAATTAACCAACTTTGCAAGAATTAATTGTTTACTAGCAATTTATGTGTGTTAGAAGGGGGTGGGGGAGGAGCTGCAGTGCAAAAGTAAGGTAGAGTTCATCTGCTTCATTGATCTCGGTATATAAAGGGAAAGTGTGGTCAGCAATATACCAAAGGTCTTATGAATAGAATGATCCATAAAAGTTAAAATTCAATTGTTGTTCGCTAAAAACAAGGAAAGCTCCTCTCTCAGACCTTAAAAGCCATAGGGCAGATGAAGTAGAGTTTAAATGACTGTCGATCTCGGCATATGAAGGCATAGTTTGTTCAGCAGTATGCCCAGTCGCTTTTACTTTCCCCAACGTGAATCAGGTACCCATAAGAGCTGGGTTGACTCAAGAACATTATACCATGAACCCGGGCTTCGAATTCGAGACTTTCGGGTTAGCAGTCGTATGCTCTACCACCCAACCTCTCCGTTACAGGGCTGAAGTGTGACGGCCCCCTAATGAGGTTAATGAATCGTCTTTATCCAGCATATATTGAAATACTTTGGTACATCTCACCAAGTAACAATAATATTTCTTATTAAAATCTTTTTAAAAAAAACTTAGTGTAATATTTTTTAAAAATTGTTATTAAAATATCGCTTAAAAAAATCCCCCCCCCCCCCTCCGACACTACAAGTATAATCTGGAACTGACGTAATCCCAGACCACCCCATTACACCTTGTACTCACTTGGGCTGAGAGCCTCCGCCTGCACCGTATCGTCCAGTGTGACGTCAGCACAGCTGTAATAAGTTCTTCCGTGAGGTGCGTAGATGGCCTAGAACGGCATTAATACATTTGGACAGGCATTATAAAAGAATTAATATGGTATTAAAATGGCAGCAATTGTATACCCTATATACAATACACACCCCTCTATCACAATAACCCCATCCCAAATTGTATTTCGAATAGCTAGATAAACAATAAAATAGATATAATTACATATAAATACATATAAATATATAATGAATAAATTATAAAGAAATACAAATATTAACAAATACCTGTAAAAGATACTTCCCTGGTCTGCAAGTAAAAGAAAATGCCATTCATTATATATATATATATATATATATATATATATATATATATATATATATATATATATATATAATGTGTGTGTGTTTAAATGTGTATTCAGGGTAAACTATTCATGTAAGGCAGAATCCATACTTTTCTTGATTTCAACATTTAAATATTCTGATCCATTAAACATTAAGTAACAAAATCTGACTCTGACGGAAATTTCAAATTAAAAAAATATCTTACTCTGTTGGAAACTTTAAAAAAAGTCTTACTCTGATGGTAACTTCAAGTAAAATAAATCTTACTCTAATGGAAACTTTAAAAAAAGTCTTACTCTGATGGTAACTTCAAGAAAAATAAATCTTACTCTAATGGAAACTTTAAAATAAATCTTACTCTGTTGGAAACTTTGAAATTTTTTTTTACTCTGATAGTTACTTTAAAAAAATCTTACTCTGATGGAAACTTTAAAAAAAGTCTTACTCTGATGGAAACTTCACAACCAGATACTTGTCTTCCAGTGTGCCATCGGGCCACTGTCCCAACAACGTAAAATCTTCTGTGGATGTGGAGTTTATTTTCTTGATCTTGATGGTATATTTACCCTGTGGGGAAAATAACGTAACATTTTATCATTACATGAATTCACAATAAACCACGTAAAGTCTGTGGAGTTTCCATTCCTGAAGTTGAAGTAATATTTACCTTGTTGGAAAAAAACTGTTACTTTTATGATTTTCTAAAATCAGCTTAGAGGAATTCAAACCAAAATACTCTTTATCACTGGGTACCAAATTTGCTTAACTATATCATTAGCTCTAACACCAGGCGCTTGAGAGAGGGCACCCAAGACAGACCCGGAGGCGGAGTCTTCTCGAAGAACTAAAGCCAACAGGGATGACTTGAGAGATGGTAAAATCAATAGCCGGGGACCGAAAGAAATGGAATGATATGGTTGGGGTGCTATGTTCCACAAGAAGCAAAGAGGACGAATTCAAGTAAGTTAAGCCGACTTCAGATTGAGCACCGTAACAATTACATGATAATCTTAATGATTCTGTGTCTAACTTAACAAAGCAGTTCACATGTTGTAAAATAGCTCAAATGATATTTGTTAACTCGGCTGGCAATAAAAATATCCCCCCCCCCGTTGTACTCTAATGGGAGGAAAAAGATGTAAAGAGCTTTGTTTATATATGTAAATTATATATATATATATATATATATATATATATATATATATATATATATATATATATATATATATATGCGTGTGTGTGTGTGTAACAAGGTCACGAGCTAAAGCCCCCGAGCAGGTCGTTGTCACGTAATTAAAGATTCATTTAACTAATGAGTTAATCCGCAGATAAACCTGTCATTAAGATATATCAACTATCCCGAGACAGTCTATTTAAGAAAGGATTAATTTAAACTAGTTTAAAAAAACATGATCCATTTTGGATTACTCTACATGTAGGTCATAGTTCACATTCATTAGTACATTAGTACTGAACGCAAAAACTAGTTGTATAAATGAATCATAAATAACAAAAAATAGTGAAGTAGTGGTCGGCGTGGTCGAGTTGGTAAATCTCATGGTTGCTAAACCGAAAAGTCTCGAGTTCGAACCCTCGGGCAGATGAGGCTCGTTAGCTGGGGACAGCCACTCTTCTAGGAGAGACAACTCCAAAATTAAACAACTGCTGCCTTGTAGTTTGTTCTTGGTAGGACAAAGGCTATGGAAGCAAATCCAAAAAGAAAAGCAGGCTGAAATCGGAGTCAATGGCATCAATGGCGCATAACCAGTTGACACGTAACGCTTAATTGTGTTGGAGGCGTGGTCGAGTCGGCAAAAAAAAATTCATGGTTGATAAATTTGAACAAAGTCTCGAGTTCAAACCCACTGGCAGATAAATCTCGATCCCCTTCAACACTAATAATTAAGAACCAAGAAGAAGAAGAAGTGAAGTAAAAAAAAAGTATGAAGATTGAATAGAGTGTCGACGATACAATTGTATTTTTTAAACTACGTTGTTAATGAAAACATTAACGGTTATCGAACAAGTTAGACAATAACTCAAGCATGGTTGTTTTCCCTTCAACATATTTAATTATTGCTTACAAATATGGTAGGTATACACTATACACCATATGGTCTGTTGGCTCAAACATAGACTTCTTTTTATTTCTAGATGTGTTTTAAAGCCGTTGTTTATCATAGACCGTCTGTATCTACTACAGTATTTGGACTTGTTTTTTCCTCTCTTTCCTAGATGAGTTGGTATCCCAAGCCAACAAGGAAGTTTTTCTCTTCTAGATGTGATCCTAGCCTTTGCTTTTACTATCCTAGATCGGTTACTACTCCAAGCTAAACAGTTATTTCTTTACGGATTGTGATTGCTGTCCATTGGTAAAACGCGACATCTCACTGAGTCACAGTCACACAGTGATCAATTTAAAAAATATTTTGGCTATCCTGTCTAACAAATAATGTAACACATATATTTATTATTTATATGTATTCAATCTAGCCTTGCTGCTCTTTTCTTCAAACGACCTGCCTTTTCGAATAATTATTTCAGTAGTCTCCCTTCTAATTTTATTGTCAAGTTGTTTCCCCTCTATCTTATATTTATTAACCACCTACTTAACTCCCTTTACACACCCTGCGGTTGCCTATACAAAAGCCTTTAAAAATAACTCAAACAAACAGATATTGTAAAATAATGTAAACTCACTGCTTTGGTCGTCTGTTTACCGTTAAACAATATAATCAAAGTTTCAAGAACGAAACGACCTTTTTTTTTATCTGAAACATGTTTTACTAGTCGTTTTAAAATGATCTCCGTGATGAATAAAACTACATTTTATGTGTTCTTTCAATAAAGGTGTTTGATAATACTGAATCTCTCGAAAACAAAATTTACGTGAAGAAAAACGAAAACATCATACGCTAAAACATTTTTGTTTGTTTTTTTGGAATAAGGTATTTTAATAATAAAAACACTGGGCACTGCTATAAATAGATTTTAACTAATAGCATCTCTTTAAAGTTAACCTGTGACCTGTGATGTGTAAGCGGTGTTACATAAGTTGACGAAGATTTTGTCAATTATAAAAAAAATTGCCCCGGGGTTAGGTGCGCATCACGTGGGTCTAAGCCACACATTGGCGTGACGTCACACTAACGCTTGGTGTGTTTTCGTATTAATACAGTAATCACATCTCACAGCAATGCGGTTAGCTGAAATGTTATAAATCTGAGTCGTTTGTACACAACTCACTATCAGGCCAGTCTTCATGAAAAGTTAACCGTGAACCTCAACTGTTTATTCACGTTGGCGAAAAGGCATCTACCCAGCATCGAAAACACACACTCATATTTGGAAAGGTTTTACTGTCGCTTGATGTGTTGTTGTGTTTGATACAGTAATCAAATCTCACAGCAGTGCAGCTAGCTGAACGCTTATGGTTCAAGTCCTTTGTACATATCACCATCACTATGCCAGTCGACATAAAACTTAGCTGCGAACCTCAAATTGTTGGAATATAAGCTGTTTCCACAAGGGTAGCGACCCATTATGGCGCCCGCGGCGAACTGTCAAATTTGCACCCCTCTCCCCATTCATATACAGTTGTTCAAGTTGGCGAACAAGAACCTACCCCAACCCCAACACACACATACACTGACATCTGGAAATTCATTATGACGTCACACAATTGATGTAGAAAACAGTTAAAGTTGTCAGGAAAACAATGCAGTAGCCAATTTTTAACTGCTCAAGATGAGCTTTTTAATTGTTTTTTACCTACTCCGTTTAGCACTCCTTAGAAAGGCACCCTGGGCTGCCACACCAGCCGCCTTTCCCTAGCTACGCCTCTGAATTTTTTTTATAGATTTAATTGTTTATTAAACTTTGAGAATCTATGCAGGAGAATTGAGATCACCAAATAAATGGCTGCCTAACCCACGTTAGGAAAGATAAAAGCGTCTCGGCAATGAACTGAACGTACTCCCCCTCATTCTACCCGTTACGCTTTAAAAGGTGAAATCTACTTCACCTGCACTATTGACCTTCAGGTCCGAAAATATATCTTTACTTTACATTAAAGTCTACATTACTTAAATGTAAAAAAAAAAACTTTAAGAGGTAAAAAAAAGTAAAAAAAAAGTAAAGATACCTCTTTGAGACCTAGCGATCCGTTGGTTTGATGAAGTAGAAATCTTAACAGATAGCACTTTTATTTTTAACTTGATATAATTTAAATAAACCGGGAGTGATCTCCCCTAAACTTTCTCGAATATTTTTATATAAAATAACAGGGGATGGGAACTCGGGCTATAGACATGATTTTTAATCCATTTTAAATACTTAAAGTTTTAAAAATAGAATAAAATCTCGTAGACAAATTAATTGCACACCAAGTGAACGCGAAATAAAAAAGCGCATAATAGTTCGCAATATTATTAGTACTTTTAAAATTTACATTAGTTTTTTGAGAAATCGGAAGTAGCGTAAATTACTACTTCCGGTCAACGGAAATTACTCAAAATTTAACAGAAGGTAGAGAATTAGATCTTTTACTTACATGTGAAATTTCATTTATCTATCTGAAATAGTACTCAAGTTATAGGCTTTTGAAAAATTCAAAGTAGAAAAAGTACCACTTCCGGTTGTCGGAAATCGCTCAAAAGTTGATACGGATCTACGATTTTGATATAATACTTATATATGAAATTTCATCAACCTAGCTGTAACGGTACTCAAGTTATCGTGTTTACACACGGACACACACACAGACACACAGACACACACACACACAGACATACGGACAAGATTGCAAAATTATGTTTTTCCGTATCAGTGAGGTGTAAAACGTCGAGATTTGTAAAAATCTCGATTTTTTTTTTTTGCACGATTACAATACTTTCTCTATACTACGTATATACGAGAAAGTAAAAAAAGAAACCATATCTTCATCTGATTTCTTAAACGATTTTTTTCATTCTCAAAATCATAACAATTAAGCGTGGACACTAACGGCATAACTAAAACAAAATCACCACGAGTTTCGAAAATGACTTAAAACCATGAAGTAACGTTTCTAAAAATAATCTTACCGGGAAATCCTTATTATAATGTGTGAAGGGCATGTTAAGATGGACAGAAAACTCACTCCCAGATCTGAAAACAAAAACGGGAATTCCAGAGGTTATCAGGTATGAGCGGGGACAGGTAATGCACAAGAAAAAGTATCAAGTTCAAGATTATTTACAGGCTAGGCCAAAGGGAATAAAAGTGATGCATACCATTTAAAGAAAACCGGCGCATAATTTAAATTCATTATTGTGATGTACATTAATATTTCTGTACACCCACTGTTCAACAATATATATATATATATATATATATATATATATATATATATATATATATATATGTATATATATATATATATATATATTTATATATATATATATATATATATTTATTTATTTATTTATTTACTTATATATATATTTATATATATAATTATATATATATATATATATATATATATATATATATATATATATATATATATATATATATATATATATATATATATATATATATATATATATATATATATATATATATAATTATATATATATGTATACATACTGACTTAAATTTCTATGTAATATTGAACTGTGTGTGTAATATAAGTATAAACATATGTGGATATACTCTAATAAGGTCGTTTTTTAAAATATGTTTTTGTTATAACAAACCATTTTAAAAAATGTATTAGTTGGATCGAGTTAGAAAGCTCTAATGCACCTCAGAAGTAAATGAGTTCAATATTCCTGAGTATACATCTATTTAGGGCTCTCTTATATAGGGCACCAATTAGAAACATAGTCTACTTTGTACTCTGATTGTTATAGAGAACAAATTAACAGCCCAAAGCTACCAAGTTAAAAAAAAAAATTACTCGAAAAAAAGTTACAAATCTTCATCACAAATAATAACGTTACACCTGAAAATATCACAATTTGATCAGGAAACTACAAAATTGCACCACGAACTTACAAAGTTAGACGATAGCTTCAAGAGTCACATAAAGCTACAGAGTAGAAAGTTCAGCTTACTTGATAACTTTGGGGTTTTCTGTGGGCGTGTCAGGGAAGTCTTTGCCACAAGGGGGGTTGGTGTTCTGGTAGCAGTTGAACCAAGTATCGTTGGCAGCTGGAAAGGAAATATTATTAAAAGGGGAAGTGGTCGAATGGTAGAGCTAATGACTGCTAATCCGAAATCTCGAGTTCGGTTCTTAGTTTCGAGTCTGTACGACGTCCTTTTACACCTAATTCTGATGGGTATCCGACTCTCTGAAGGAAATAATGTCGGATGGCGTAGTGTTGACTACACTATCCTTTCATATTCCGAGGTCATTAAAACAGATGAACTCTACTTTACTGCTCCATGTCTTAGGCACGAACGGAAAAGATGAGAGATAATAGAAGCAGAGCGTCGTTATTGAGGGTATAAGACCCCTCTTCTATCAAAGAAAGACAGCCCCATTATTATTTTACATTAACATGACCTTAACATAAAAATAACCATCACAACTAACCTAACCTAATACCACCCTAACCTCAACACCACCATAACCTCAACACCACCCTAACCTCAACACCACCATAACCCCAACACCACTATAACCCCAACACCACCATAACCTCAACACCACCATAACCCCAACACCACCATAACCCCAACACCACTATAACCCCAACACCACCCTAACCTCAAAACCACCATAACCCCAACACCACTATAACCCCAACACCACTATAACCCCAACCCCAACACCACCATAACCCCAACACCACCATAATCCCAACACAACCATAACCCCAACCCCAACACCACCATAATCCCAACACAACCATAACCCCAACCCCAACACCACCATAACCTAACACCACCATAACCCCAACACCACCATAATCCCAACACAACCATAACCCCAACCCCAACACCACCATAACCTAACACCACCATAACCCAAACACCATCATAACCCCAACACCACTATAACCCCAACACCACCATAACCTCAAAACCACCATAACCCCAACACCACCATAACCCCAACACCACCATAACCCCAACACCACCATAATCCCAACACAACCATAACCTCAACACCACCATAATCCCAAACACAACCATAACCCCAACACCACCATAACCCCAACACCACCATAATCCCAAACACCACCATAACCCCAACACCACCATAACCCCAACACCACCATAACCCCAACACCACCATAACCCCAACACCACCATAACCCCAACACCACCATAACCCCAACACCACCATAATCCCAACACCACCATAATCCCAACACAACCATAACCCCAACCCCAACACCACCATAACCCCAACACCACCATAATCCCAAACACCACCATAACCCCAACACCACCATAATCCCAACACCACCATAATCCCAACACAACCATAACCCCAACACCACCATAATCCCAACACAACCATAACTCCAACGCCACCATAACCCCAAACACAACCATAACCATAAAACCCCCATGGCCTCACCATCATAACCCCCACCACCACCCTAACACTAACCGAAACACCACCATAACCCCAACACCACCATAACCACAAAACCACCATAACCCCAACCCCACCATAATCTCAAGTGTAAGACACAGCTAATCTTATCTCACACCCTCACTCACCAACCACAAGCCAGATTCAAGTACTCACTTCTTAAGCGTTGCTCTGGGTTCCGTATACACAAGTGCCCCTGCGTCAATGTGACCATCGCAGCAAGCAGTGTCAAACACACTACACACATCTGAAGCCTGGAACACATCTCTTTAACCTGCGGAGGATACCACGTCTTGTTACTTCCTGCTCCGACCAAATGTCTTCGTCAGCAAAATAAATTTAAATAGCATGTCCGCGGTTGAGGCAGATTAATTTTCAAACCAAATCGGGATAATCAGAAGAAAAATCAAGCATGGATAGATTTGTACAAAAAGTGAGGTTTTATTAGTAGACTTATTTTCCTTATCACCCCCCCCCCCCCCTTACCCCACATTGATACAGGTCATGAAAATTAAAGCGCCACTAACATAACGCAGCTAAGCAGAGGCGTAGCAAATGTGGGGGCGGAGGGTGCGGACCGCACCGGGTGACACCATTTAGGGGGTGACACCAAGCCAAAAAATATGTATACAGAAAAATGATAATTCCACTTAATTAAGTGATTAATTAGAGTTTTAAATAGTCTTTTAAGAGCAAATTTGACAAATCCCGACTATGGTGGAGGAGTGGGGGGGGGGGGGGCTGACACCATTAAGTGCCGCACCGGGTGACACCCGACCTCGCTATGCCACTGCCGCTAAAGCCTTACTTTAAAATACTTCATATGAAATTAGTGTTTTCGACATTTTTGTCCGTAAGAAATACTAAGTAGATGCCTCCCCACACATAATCGCCTCCCCTCCCTTTTCCCTTTCAAATAGTTGTATGCTACATAAATCTCAAACTCCGAACTCTACTTCACCTGTATGACAGTTAGAGACGACGCCTAAACCTAGTCTTTACCATCGCTTTAAATATCAATTGTGGGTTGTGGGTAGGATGAGGGGGGGGGGGGGGGCGACGACGACATCACAATGGGTCATCACAATTTCATTGATTTAAAAAACATCTAAAATGATTAACTTTATAGGTAAACACCAAATTATTTTTAGATATTCTGTGTAATTCATTCGCTCAAATAGACGTAAGTTCTAAGTAACGAAAATATAATTAAATTTACGTTTCAAAATATTTACAAGCACTGATGGTTGTAAAACTGTATATTAGCATCGATATTTGTAAACCAAGCATCGATATTTGTAAAAATGTATCCAAAGATTGTGGCAAAAAAATATCTTCTAGAATCGATACTTAAAAACATCAATATGTCATGTCGATTGTATTTTAAAAAGAATTCATCTTACCTAATAAAAACTCAAACCCGAGATTTTCGCTAACGCTTATCAAGACACTAGATCTGATCTAAGCTTTAAGTTTGTCTCGTTAAGTTCTTGTTTGTGAGATATAAATTCAAATAAATATTTTTTCAAACTTTCATATAGATATAAGCAGAAAAATCGCTTTGTATTAAAGACTGAATTTTTTAAATATTTATCAGTTTGAGAAATTTTTAATATTAAAAATTTGATACAACTTTGTGTTTTAATAATAAAAAAAAATTAAAATTTATTATTAACTCCGAATATCAATAAGAATAAAATTAATAATTTTACATTATGTTTGTTTACTTTTTATCATTTGTTTTTGGGACAATTTATATAACCTGACGCTAATATTATTTCACTTCTATAGTATACACCGTTTAGTAAACAAACTGTAATGCTATTTAAAGCCCTAACCACAAAATAATGTTGCCAAACTGTTCGTCCATATCATAAATCGTGATCATCACTCCAAAGTTTATACGTACACTGCGAATTTCTACTCATTAATTCTAACTTTCTGTGTCGCGAAGCAGTTTTGAGATACCATTATACAACCGAGCACCTAATAAGGTATGTCAATCAACAAGTTAATACACGCATTAATTAAGAAGTCTCATCAATTAAGAAGACTCATCAAAATTAAAAAGAAAAAAAAAACACACTTAAAAAAAACTACACATTTCCTGTTATTAATCCCTACACTGTGCATGGGGGGGGGGGGGGGGGGGGGGGGGGGTTGGATAGGGCACATGAAACATCTGACCCCGGGGCGTCGGATTCCTTAAAGCTGACGCTGTCGTAGTATTGACGAAAAAGGGGACGGGAGGGGGGTTATAAAGAACACTTGCCCTCGGGGCGCCGGATTCCTTTAAGCCGACCTTGTCGGGATGTCTAATTGCTTTATCTACTTAACCTGCTCATCCGTTCCCCGTCTGTTTAATTACCCAGGGCCGTATCTAAATGTCCGTCTTTAGCAGACTTACAGTATTATTTCATCGCCAGAGTTAGAACTAGGTACAGAAAATATACGGGATCCGACCCCCCCCCCCTTTCAAGAGGGTTTAGTGTTTTTTTTCAGACATGTATCTTTGGAAGTGTGGGGGGGGGGAGCAATTCGAACTTTCGGGGAAGGAGGGGGGGGGCGTAAATCTCTACGGGGGTGGGGGGGGGGTAGTAAAGAAAGTAAAGTTTCTTTCAAACCTGACAGTTTATGAGGCAAGTGAAGTGGGGGATGGGGTTCACTGGTTAAAATATGTTTCCTATATAAGTTATGTTTTTTTAAAAATATATTTCGTACAGTGGAGGGACGCCCCCCCCCCCCCCCCCCCCAAAAAAAAAATGCCTGCCAGGGTTGCTTTCAGACATTTTCTCGCAAGAAATTCCCGTTTAAAATAACGTATTTAATTTCTATATTAATTGTAAATTTGTTCAATTTGGTCCTGAAGGGCATAGCCCTTCCCCCCCCCTTTTGGATTGATGTTAGAGTAATGGAAGCGAGGAATTAGGAGGTGGGGCAGGGAGGAGGGGTTGTATGTAACGAAGAGACAAGGCGAAATTAGATTTATTTTACAACTTCTAAATCAACATTCATCGTTTTAAAATGCAAGTTCTTTCTACGAAATCTTTCAATAAGAAGTAGTTGACAGTATAACATCTCTTATCGAAACTACACTCATGACAGATTCATAGACAACATACCTAGGTATTGCTTTAATGAAAGTTTGAAAGTTAAAACAGAATCCAATCAATGCACAGAAAACACTTGACGAAATTCACGAAATACACGACATCCTAAGCACATGATCAACTTCCGCTGTGACCACGTGACGTGACCCCGGTGAATGATGGGAGGGTCACGCTGTCAGCTGTCACACCCCCCGGGGTCAGGTTCTAATTACAGGTGGTAATGGGCGATAGGTAAAGGGAGTTTACCTCCCCGTCCCTCCCATTTTCCTTCGTTCAGTAGCTTAGTTTATGTGACGTAATTTGATCAGCGTTAGAGCTGGTTGTGATCATTTGGTTTTGCTCGTGTAAACATTGAAAAAGAAAGTTGCCGAAACGTTTCTAAATACGAGAGATTCAGAGGCGTAGCGAGGGGGGGTATATATGTCCCCGGGCGCCGACCTTAGGGGGCGCCAAAATGGGTTGTAAAAAGAAATTAAAATCTCATTTTAGCTGCATTTTTGCATTATATATATGATAGATGGGGAGGGGGGGTCAAAATAGAAAGTTTGACGGGGGGGGGGGGGGGGGGGGGAGGGGGTGCAAATCGAAAATTGAAAGGTTGCTACCGAGGGGAGTGCCAAATTGAAAGTTTCTCCCCGGCCGCCGGGAAGGGTGGCTACGCCTCTGGAGAGATTTAACTTAATTGGTACAAAGTTTACACTAAATCTTATTGGTTTAAGTGTGAAATAAATCAGCTGTTTAACTTGGTGAATGGTTTCGATAAAGTAACGTTGATACAATTTCTGTGGTTTAAACTAAACGAGCTGACCCGCGACGTAGCATACGCCGCCATCTAGTTGTTTTATTTTATACGTATCAACAATTCATAATTTGTGAATTCGTCACTACCCCACCCCTGTCTCCCCCACTCCCCCACCCCCACCCTACCCCCACTCCGCCCAGTGAAAGCAGCCGTTTACAGACGAAAATGAAAATGTCAAAAATAACTTATTATCTCCCCTTAGTTTCAAATCGTTTAAAAACTAAATTATCTGCCCCTAATAGCCGTCACTTATTCGAACCGGCTCTACTATTGTAAACATTCGGGATGAACCATAACTCACCTGACAGGTGGGGATGAGGGCGGTGGCTAAGCTGCGTGGTGTCTCGTATGGTCCCCACGAAGAGAATTATATATACAGATTAACTATTTGACTAAATAACATGTTTTACTAGTGACCGTTTATCAGATCGAAGGGTTAGTAGTTTGAATGCCTTAGCGAACAGTTGTTTGGCTACGAGCCCGAAGGTCTCGAGTTCGGATCTCGGTCCGGCCTCGGCAGTATAGGAAGTCCCAAAGGACAGATGAGGTTTGTTATCTGGGAACAGCAACTCATCTAAGAGAGATAACTCCAAAAATAAACAATCGCTGCATTGTAGGGACCTTGTCCAGATTAGTTCCGCCACTAATGTATAAAGTGCCCGGGCGAAAAGTTAAGCCCCGCCACTTGTGACCTATTTCAGATGTCTAGACATTTGGGTATTTAAACGCACGCCATAAAACAACTCCTTATCCGCCACTAGGGTTAGGGTTGTTGTTAGGGTTTGGGTTAGGGTTGGGGTTGGGTTTAGAATAATTAGGATTAGGGTTGGGGTTGGGTTACGGTTGAGGTTTGGGTTGGGTTGGGGTTATTGTTAGGGTTAGGGTTATTGTTAGGGTTAGGGTTATTGTTAGGGTTAGGGTTAGGGTTGGGTTGGCTTGGGGTTATGGTTAGGGTTAGGGTTAGGGTTAGGGTTAGGGTTATTGTTAGGGTTAGGGTTAGGGTTAGGGTTAGGGTTAGGGTTAGGGTTATTGTTAGGGTTAGGGTTAGGGTTAGGGTTAGGGTTAGGGTTAGGGTTAGGGTTAGGGTTAGGGTTAGGGTTAGGGTTAGGGTTGGGTTACGGTTTGAGGTTTGGGTTGGGTTGGGGTTAGGGTTTGGGGTTAGGAAGTAAACCCTAAATGAAGAGAAGGTGGAAATCGTCGGGTCAAGCTCTCAGCTATAACACCCCAAGGGTGAATTGTCTTAATTGTGTTACAGGATATCCCCCCCCCCCCCCGCCATCCAATATTACAATATAGAAAGAAGGGGTAAAGCATAATAGGTCAAATTTTATATTAAAAATAAATAAAATTCTAAAATTTGAATTTCTACATTAAAAATACTCTGCACACGACAAAGTTTTAACTTAGTGCTACTCTCACACAATGATTTACATATTATAATAGATATAAACACAGCACAGACTTACACAGCACAATGGATATAAACATATTACAGAAAAGATATGAAATTGTATTGAGCGTACTTACAGCTATGTCTCTTTTAGAGTACCTAACAAATTGTTCTGAAGCCGAACTTGAATCTTGTCCACGTAAGGAGCAAAGGTTCTAACCGACCAATCGAGAGATGCGTAGCTTACTCTTCAATTTACTTTTACAATCTTTTATAACCAGTCCCTACGTCACTCTCATTATTGTGAAATACAGGGGAGTAGACAGAAACCTATCGTAGGTTTCTTGACGCGGATGTGCAATGTGTATTTACTGTGTCAGATATAATAACCTTATATATATATATATATATATATATATATATATATATATATATATATATATATATATATATATATATATATATATATATATATATATATATATATATGTATATATATATATATATATATGTATATATATATATATATATATATATATATATATATATATATATATATATATATATATATATATATATATATATATATATATATATGTACATATATAAATATACATATATATATATATACATATATATACATATACAAATATATATACATATACATATATATATATATATATATATATATATATATATATATATATATATATATATATATATATATATATATATATATCCCTTTCATAGAACCAAATGTTTTAACTCCATTTTTGTATTTCGCGATTAATTTAACAACGTCGTGTTCTAAATCTACCAAAGACATGATGGCAAAAAAAGAAATCATGGCTATTACACTCACCATTATTACACATTTTAAAATTTTTACATTTTCGATAGTAAAGAAATGTTAAGGAAAACAAAACTTTAAAGCCTTATTGTCAACATTTTTGAGAAGTGGAACATTTACATGTAAATATATATATATATATATATATATATATATATATATATATATATATATATATATATATATATATATATATATATATATATATATATATATATATATATGGTGGCTTTAATTTGTTCTACCCTCAAATATTTCACCCAAAGTAGCACTATTAATAGTATTTGCCCAAGGCGCACAACTCTACAACATTGGTTACGCCACTGAGAGATAAAAACTTGACATCGTGAAATTAACGCCCTTGTTGGTTAGACCAGCGTACACTTAAGGATCTGGAAAACGGTTGGTTTATATTGAGTTTCACTTTTTTCTTAAAAATCGGCAGGACATTATAACTTACTTAATTAACAGACGCTAAAAAAAGACCCATTGGTTAATAAATACCTAATGTTACATATGAGAATCTAACACCACCATAGCTGCAAAGAGTATTTATTAATATTAAAATATTATGAATTCAAATGCATTGTTGAATTACGAACACTTTATGAGAATAGACAAAAAATTAGTATTTTTAGTCAAATTAAAAATACAAAAGTTGAGTTTGTGTGTGGTCGAATGAGGGGGCTGCGTGATCGAAGGATAGAGCACTCGACTGTTAACCATATAGCCTCGAGTTCTGACCTCGGTCCGTGAGTCAACCCAGCCCTGATGGGTACGTGAATAACGTTGGGGAAAGTAAATGCGGCTGGCCATTGTGCTGACCAGACCATCCCTTCAAATGTCGAGATCAAGAAACACATACGCTCTACTTCATCTGCCTAATGGATAACTAGGTCGAATGTCTTCCGTTATGTTAACTGATAATGTCACGATCCCCCCCCCCAACTATTTTATAGTTTTAACTCGATATACTATTATATTGCAAGTACTTTTTACGATTTTTAAAATTTGTTTCCGACCCCCTCCCCCCCCCCCCCTCGCTCACTTGTGACGCTACAGAAGCTAAGCTTATCATCAACAAGGCTGATCCTAACAGGCTGAAACATCGCTCACACCGAATTTGTCGGCCGCTGGGACCTTTTCCTTCTGCAAAGATTGAGCGATCCCGTTATCTCCCCTTATGGTATTGTATTGAATAGTGAGTACACCTTTAATTATCTTTTACTGACTAGATCTATATCAAATATCAAATAAATTTTAAAATAACATTTTCATTCTTTGTATTAAGAGACGAATGTATCTGGAAAGTATGAACACAATTGTCACAGACTGTATAATTATGTATCCTTATTATATTGTGTTTTGCATGAATGAAGAGTACCTGGCTAGCGGAAGGACTGTCTGAGCGATCGTCATGTGTTGTTTCATGCTTTTGGGTGAGATCGCTCATGTACGTAAGGGGAGAGAAAGTGGTGAATAAAAGGGAGAGCAAAAAGGTGAACGGGTGTTGTGTGCTAGAACTTGAACCTGAGGACTGTGGCTGTGAATGTAGGATGTTACTACGACACTTTGTTTCTTGACTGTGATTGTACTTATACCAGTTGTGACCATGGATTTACTATGGATCTATTAATTCTCTGTACAAAGTGTAAATAAAGTTATTGTTTCACAACTACTGTTGCTCGTATGAGTATATTGAAGAACCCACAATAACAACAATGAAGAATACATGTTGTTACATATGGTGTCAGAAGTGAGCGTCTACTGTTACATATGATGTCAAAAGTGGTTGAAGAAGTGGTGCTACTGTTACTGATTCTACTGTTACATTGTCAGAAGCAATTGAAGAAGTGATGTTGTTACATTGGTAAATTATATTGAAGTCTGAAATCGTCAACGAAGTTACAGTGTTACTACAAGTGATCAAGAATTGTCACATTATCATTGTAAGCAGTTTTCAACGTTTTTGAAGTGGTCTTCCACTGTTTACCAAGTACGTCAAGTTCTTGAAAGTCATCTATCTACACTCAAGTCAGAAGGGTTGCTGTAGTCAAGTCAGACGTTTTGTTCAAGTCAAGTCATCAACGTGATAATTTTTATCACCTTATTTCGATATTGTCTCACCAATGTCGAGTAAATATCGTCTGTGTGTTTTTTCTATTTGGATTTAGCTGTTCAATTTTTTTTCTATATGGATTAGCTGTTCAAGTTTTTCTACTGTTTGGATTTAGCAGATCAAGTTTATTTTTGTAACTGTTCCTAAAGATGTCTTATCTAAAACTGGACAAATTTCTACTCTGTAACAGGCTACTAGAACTATTTTGAATTTTTTTCAACTTTTTGGAATCAACAAAGTGAACTATTTTTGTACTATATATGTACTATGAACTTTTCTTGGATTACTAGATGTCTCTAATGAACTGAACAAAGCCAGAATACAAGAAAGGGTATTGTAAATTAATTAACATTTATCTATTGTCAACTAATGAATTTATATTTTATGTCATAGAAAATATATCAAAATGTCAAATTTTGAAACATATACAGCACTTGTGAAGGAACTTGACATTCCGAAGGAAGACAGGTTGGCATTTATAAAAGAACTACTAAAGAAAGATGAAGAGAAAGCTGCTAAAGAGAAAGCTGAGAGAAAAGAAGAAGAGAAGGCTAGAGAAGAAAAAGCTGCTAAGGCGAAAGCTGAAGAAAAAGAAGAAGAGAAGGCTAGGAAGGCAGAAGAGAGGGCTAGGAGGTTAGAGGAAAGGAATTGGAAAATAGAAGATGATGAAAGAAAGCACAAGCATGAAACAGAACTTGAAGAATATATGGAAATGGCGAGGGCGCAAGGCATTAAGAAGATGAATAAGCAGATAGCCTGGGCAACCAATCGACTTGCAAGAGACATAGAAGAAGCAAAAGAAGCATGGGACGAAGTACCAGAACAACCCCGACGAGCTCATGGAAATGTATTGAGAGAACTAGATGATGTGATAGAAATAGTGTGTAATAGATCAAGAGCTATTACAGATATGCATAAAGAAGAAGACATTTCAGAATTAGATAAAGTAGAAGAGACTGTACAACCAAAAGGAAAGCGGAAAAAAAGAAACAGAAAACAGAGAGCAGATAAAAGGGCTGAAACTATGGAAAAACAAGTTGGCCTACATGAACTAGCATATGAACAAGAACTATTAGAAATGAAAGCTATAACAGACACAAATGAACCAAAATTAGAAAGTGAACAGATAGAATTAAAAGCAGAACTTGAAGAAGTAAATATTGGCAACCTTTGGAATGAAGAACAGAGTAACATAGTCCAGGAAGAATTGAAACCCAAGGATAAAACAGAGGTTGAACTTAATAATGATTTAAAGGTGACAGATACATTAGTATGTCTTAAGATTGACTCTTTTTTGAATGATACGCAGGTACACGAGAATATTATTGAAAGTTGTATCGTAAGTCCATCAGAGAATGGCAGTCAACAAGAAACAAGTCCATCAGAGAATGGCAGTCAACAAGAAACAAGTTCATCAGAGAATGGTAGTCAAAATGATTTAATAAGCCCATCAGTCAATGGCAGTGATGATTTAATAAGTCCATCGGAGAATGGCAGGAATCATGATAAACTAATGATGATTAATGAATCAGTGAACTTAATAAGCCACAATAAAGAGAACGTACCTATTGAGGAGTTACTTAGAAATCTGGAGTCAAACTTTAAAGAAGATATCCTAGAACTCAAGAATAAATTTAACAAAGAAATGGAGAAATTAACACAGAAATTTATGTGTGAATTAGAATCAATAAAGAAGCACAAGGAAGTTAAGAAAGATGAAACAGTAACTAGAAACTACAATGTCATTAATGCACAGAATGAAAGTAAAAGAAATTTAGCAAATTATGAATACAGTCAACATGTTAATAAGAATGTCATTAATGTCATTAATGCACAGAATGAAAGAAAAAGAAATTTAGCAAACTATGAATACAGTCACCATGTTTATAAGAAGCCAAAATCTAGATGTTTTTACTGCGGAAAAACAGGTCATTACCAAAATCAATGTTGGCATAGGTTGGCAAATCAGAGAAGAAACAATTATGTACACAGAAAGTCATGTGAGAAATACAGTAATTTAAGAAATGTATCAACTTCAAATCAGAATAACAAAAGTGTGAATAGGTATACTAATGGAAGTTACCGACGCAACACATATTATGAGAGGCCAAAGCAATGCCATAATATTTATATTGAGTTGGTTGATGAACCAAACCAACATACACAAAGCAAGATAACCACTGACGTTGTTCAGAAACCAGAGGAGAATATTAAAACAAATGAAGTAACACAAGTTACACGAAATCTAGGAAATGATTATGGTAGCACAGCTAAAAGCTACAATTTGAGGGAGAGATGGCATACAGGTC